ATTTACTCTTCTTGATAGATTAATTGAAAATGTTATAAAAAAATGTTACATGTGACATTTCTAATTGTAAAAAAGAGAATAAATAAAATGCTATAAAAATAAAATATTATATATGTTATTTCTAATTGTAAAATAGAGAATAAATAACACAATCTCTTAAAAAATTCAATTTTATTTGCATTATTTCCTATTTGTGTTTTGTACCTCTGTGCTCCCAAATGTCTAAATTCATTCTCTATCATATCTTTTTTTTTTTTTAATACAAAATGCAAGAATCTATCTTTTTTATGCTTGTGAAACCTATTAGAAATACATGCTAAGGCTGTAAACTCTCTCAAGCGAAGGTTACTTATGATTTTTGGCTTACCATGATTTTTGACTTACTGATACTAAGGGCATAATCAATATCAATGTCCTCAAACCACAAATGTTCTATACTTATCTTTTAGGTTTCTTAATTTCTCTTCTTATTAGGAGAATGATATGATCAAGCTTTCCATTATCATTATTAGAATTTTAACATTCTCAATCAATCATTGTATAATGTTTATCAAAGAGTGAGATTTGATATCTATTAGTCATTGATGTTTGATCCCTATCTCCATTGTCATAAGTATCCCTCCTATTAGGAGAACAGCTAAATTGATTGCCAACTATCACTTGATCACTTCTAAAACTCTCCATAGGCCTACATACCATGCTTTTCTTTCTAGTTTAAGTATCTCGCCTTCTATAAAGAATAAAAATTCAAATCAATCACACTTGCTACACTTGATGGCGGAATCAAGATTGATCTTCGCAATTTTGGTGGGAGATTAGATCCTGATAAATTTGTGAATTTTTTGCATACGGTCGAAAGAGTTTTGATTTTAAGTTGGGTGTGATTGATATCTATAACTCTTTTTTTAGTATTTAGGTAAGCCGAACGTGGATTGTGTGAGAATATTTCTTCAATTGCTGAGCTATGGTTCAATCCGCATTACATCTATATATCTTAAGGGGGAGTATTGGTTATTATTGAAATTGCTTACAAAGAATTACTTATGAAATTGCTTACAAAGAATAATCAAAATAAGTCATCTTAGAGTATGGTTTTGTTGATGATAGTTTTAATCGATGAGAACTTTGTTGAAATTAGAAGAAAAAAAATTAACAAATGAAAAAATGTTTAGAAAAAATAATTTTGTTTAACTAAAGAAAGTTCGAAGACATATAAAAGGCAATCCTAATTTATGTAATATTTATAACCATTAATTAATATTAATATAAGATAAGGTATTATTCAAGTGTGATATGTTTTTAGAATCTTGAATTTATCATTTTGAAGAAATATGCTATATTAGTGATATAACTGTTGAAAATGGATAAATGCATTGGGATTATGATAGATTGGTCCAGCCGGCCCAATACTAGGGCTAGCTCCTAGTATATTCCAGGCGGTGCAGGAAGCAATCGGCCCGCCTTGTGGGCCCACGCATTGATGGCAAATTCAAATAGGAGGAAGGTGATTTAAGAGTGAAAATATTCAGGGAGTGGTTGTTTAATAATTATTCTTTTATTTGTATTATCTAAATAGGGGAGAAGGGATTAGGGTTAAGGTTAGGGGAGAAGGTGATTTATGAATTTTCTCTTAGGTGTTTGGGCTCGTTGTTGAGCTCGCTAAGAGCTGTAGGTGGTCCTCACCCTGCTTGAATTTTTTTTCGTATAACACCTCGGCGCTGCATAATTTGGTGGAAAAATATAGAAAAATAGAGTGTTGTGGGGCTACAAACCTCGACGATGCTAGGGAGTGTTGTGGAGCTCCAAATTGGACGCTGTTGGGTAGCCTAAAATCAGAGAGTGAGAGTATCGCTCTCTGATTTTAATATGTCATACATGATGCACATATCCTTAAAAATTGAAAAAAATAATTCAGTATCCAACACACAAGCTACGGCTTACCTGAAAATATCAGTGACATGACATATTAAATAAATGATTTAAAAAAAAGTTAATTTGAATAATAATAATAATAATAATAAATGATGGACATGTGTACGAATACATATGTTATAATTTTAGTGAAATAGTGATGAGAAGAATGAAAGAATTGAAAAGTTAAAAGGTCAATAAGAGTGTTTTTATTTTTAGAAGAGAATTAAAATTTCCTTAACAATTGATTTTGTTTAAAATGTGTTAGTTATTTATTTATTTTGTATAATAATAAAATTTATTGTTATATATATAAGAATGGGTGTCAGAACGGGTCAATAGGTCGGGTTCATATCCAAATGGATTGACCCTAATATGACCCAGTTTTGCAAATGGTAAAGTCCAACTCGGACCAAACCCACGTGGCTTACTGGGTTGAATCAACAAGACCCGCGAACTCAATTTTGCATGCGGAGACTAGCACATGTAGGGCTCATTGCTCGCTCATCATTAGGGCTGTGTGGTACTGAGCCCTAGCATGTTGCAGAGGGCAGGAAGGGGATCACCCAAGTCACAGACTATAAACTCAAGCAGTCAAGCGCATCACCGGATGGTCTAGACGCGGACCTGAGCATCCGTGAGGGACACCGGACGCAGACCCGAGGGACGTGGACCCGACCCGATTTTAGAAATGGGTTGGAACTTCAAACCCAAACTTGACCAGTATGGAAAACATGTCTTTTATGCTTAATTAATTTATGCAATTATATTATCATATTTTTATTTTTTTAAAATAGATATTATTGGCATGTACAATGAATATTCTTGTCATACACTTGTAACATATTTTTAATAATAAATGTGTTTTGTATCCATTATAAATAAAGTGATTGCTATTAAATTTTTTTTAATATGATATTGTAGCATAAGATAACTTCTTCCATAAAGCAATTGAAAGTCTAAGAAATATCAATTCTTTTAGTACTCATTTTAGAAAACATATTTTTAGAAAATAATGATTTTTTTTTAATCTAGTATAGAATATAATTAGATATTATTTACTTTAAATTTTTATTTGAGATTATTTTCTTACCATTTTTAATACAATTTTTTAAAAAAATTGATAAAAATTAGCATTCAAAAGTTACACCAAATGAAACCTATATCTTATAAATTTGTTTTTAAAAAAATTTAATTCTTTAATCAAATAAAATATATGTAATATTCATAAATATTCAAATGAGACAAATTATCTCAATTATTTGACTTGTTGGGTGATGAATTGATCAATACTATTTATTATTGTAGGGTACATTACTGTAGATATTGTCACGTGAGAGTGGATGAGGTAAATTTTAGGTTTAATTATATATATTTTTTTAATCTTGTAATAAATTAATCTTTTTCTCATAAAAAATAGAGGCCATCAAGAATATTAAAATTATGTCATTGATAGTATTTTTCACTAACCAATGACCCATGAAGTCCCACTGCTTGCGTGGGCTCATTCGGGCCCAAAATTCTGACCCAAATGAAGCCTTAATCAGACATCAATACTATTAGGGGTCATTTTAGCTAATTAATATCCTCTATTACAATAATATAACAAGTAACAAACCCCAATATCTAGAGTTCGATAAATTTATAGTTTTAGGCAACAAAACTCTAAAAATACACATAAAAAGCAAACAATATTAAACTAAGGCTTCATTTGGAACGACTTTTTTATTGCTTTTTAAAACAGAATTTTGATTTAGTATTAAAACTATATTTTAAGAAACAATAAAAAAATCGCCCCAAGCGAAGCCTAATCGAAGAGTCATCCTAGAGTTGTATATTAGGAAACTATACATATTCTTCTAAGCACTAGAGGGACAATCATGTCAATAGAAATCAGCCTTCCAAGCCCATTCGCCATTGACGCTATCACAACACTATCAAGCTCCCACTAACATAACTAAAACCCTTAGGACTCGAAAGAGATCTTAGCTTGCGATCATCATCACCTTAAAGGACTCTCCCTTTGCATCTAAGGCTAAACTAGAATCTCTAGAGACTCATCTTTAAGTTTAAAGAACTTGCTCGCACAAAACTAATCCTTCATAACCTTTTCCAAAGGACTCGCCAAATACACTAACTGGCAGAGCTCTGCATTGGGTATCCATACCCACACCCACCCATGTACCAATGGGTATGGGTGGGTATGGGTGGGTCAATGGCCTTGTGGATGGGTATTCAACAACGAAGGATAAATCGATTTATATTGCTAATCACCATATATCTTATATTATGGCAATCCTCACTACATAATGTGCAACACTTAACCACGCTACGATTACAATAAATTTTGATATGCATCTTGAAAGTTTGCAATAAGAGCAAAAGGATATAAGCCTCAAGGCCATTAATTTGTGGCAAACTGCATTCAAATAATATGGAAAGTGAATGGGTATATGTGGGTATGTCACCCCGAAAGTCACCATGGATAGGCATGGGTGGGCTAAACCTGTCCGAATAAAGCATGGTTACCCATCCAGGATCTCATATAGGGCTTTGCTAACTAGTGAAAACTCACCTAGTAGATTCACTCTAAGACCGATAGATATATTGAAGATACAAAGTTATTTAATAACCTGCCAACTGATTTCATGTGTCATGTATAATCTTAAACGAGTCGTTACCAATATTTCATATGTATGTTTTTTTAATATATATAATCTTCTCTGTAGCCCTCCAAGCTATATAAATGAGTGGAGAGGAGGCATATTTGAGATCTTTTTGTTACTTCATGGGCCTTTTGACTTACAAGATCTGTCTGATCTCTCTCTCTCGGAAATTTATTATGTCTGGTGTCTGGATTCGTCCGCACACCAATCCAGACGCGCCATGTCACCCAAATACACGAGGGTCTAGTGTATTTGGATGACGTTACGCGTCTGAATTGAGTGTCCAGACATCCGGTCACCGGACGTAATAATTTGCCCCCTCTCTCTCTCTCATCCAGATCTATCAAATTTCTCTATTTCTCACCTAAAAAATTGCTTTCCAGTAAAATCAGTTATCATCACAAATAAATTCGGATTCAATTTATATAGAATGTGTCATAAATCTGACCATTTTGAACAATGAGTTGACCATCATAACATTGCTCTAACGAAAAAAAAACCGCACATTAACGCTAATAATTCCAAATTGCTTGGACATTTATAATGGAATGTATATAAATAAAAAAAATAAAAACAGCCTTGGTAATGAGGTAGGTATAAAAATGGAAATAAAGAACAGAAATAGGTAAATGAAAAATGGAGAAAGGGTTTGGTAAATGATAACCAGTTTCTTTCTCATCTGTAAGGCAGGCTGCAATTGGAGCTCGTAATTTCATTTGTAAACATTGAAGAATGAACATCAAAGCCATAGACATAAGAAGCAGAAGCTTCAATTAGCTACAGACAGTAAAGTCTCACTGATTCCTCCAACACCTGCTGGTTTGGGCAAATCAAATATTTCATCTTAACGCCATCCTTATATATTTTCAAAGTAGGAACAGTAATCACATTCTCTGATTTGCAAACAGCTGGGCTCTTATTGATGTCGACCTTTAATTCCAGTAAAGTATAAATTATATTCAAAAGTGGAATGGAGAGTATATATTCTATATATAATCAGGTTAAAAATTAAGAATTTGTGCTGAAACTTACCTTGAGAAACTTCACTGATGGAAATCTTCTGCTCAGTATGTCAAGAAATGGAGAAATCCGTAGGCAATGATGATCCAATGCAGCCATGAAGAGCACGACTAAAGCGCCTGAAGAAATCAAGTTTTGGTCAGGGATTAATAAAACATGCAGGCTCAACTGGTTTTACATGGTACTAATCGAGCCTTTGATCCAGTTTAATATTTGGAAAGAAAATGCTAGATTAGAAGGAAAAATAATAATGAGCTACTGGCCAGCATAAAATCAATAAACCCACTCAATCAGTATTTGAAACAATGAGATCGATTTTATTCTTCTAGGCCTTTACAAATTCAGTTTCCAAGTCTGAGATCAATTTTATTCCTCTACAAGTTAAAACTTTTGTGCTAAAAAATAGCTTTAAGAAGCGGTAAGAAAGCCGTCCCAAAAAAAGCAATATTTTTTCCAAAATATATGTTCTCCTATACAAGAATTTCCCTAGTACATCTCAGCCCTCAAGCTTGAACATATATATTTGTTATGGCTTCAACTTATCACATAAACCACAAAATGAGGACTTTGAGATTTGGTAACATAAGCATCACTCGTTTTGAATTGGAAAAATTTGTGGCCGCCTTCCTGTAAAGTATAACATCTTGAATAAAATAGCAATCAAATATAACGTGTTGTCCTTTCATGAACAATGAAAGCTTGGTAATGCATATAGGGACATAATTGTCACGATACAAAAAGCAGGCTTAATTACTAGAAAATTGAATTATTCCAATAAAATTTTGATCACATCATGTCAAATGTGAAATAAGTCATAGCTCGATATTTTGATTTTGACAATGTGAAGGAAACTTTCAACCAGTGGATCTTATAAATCCTAAAATCTTTCTATGGAGTTAGGCTATGCCATTATATCATATTGATGTAGTCAAGAGTTATCATTTTAAGGTTTTTTATTTTCTACTTGTGTTTCTAGCTTTTTTTTTTCTCCGGTAAAGTCACCTTTGTCTGTTGAACCTTCATTTTCCCTGCTGACCCATCGGGTTTTCCAGCTATCTCTCAGTTTCCCTGATGTCTGCTCATTTTCTCTGTTGTCTTCTCGTATATATTTTGTTGTTTGGTCTTCCCTAAGTGTTGTTGGCTTTCCATATGCTGTTGTTTTTCACCATGTTGTTGTCCTGCTGTTGGCTGCTCGTTTTCCCTGTTGTGGCTGTTTAGTTTCCTCTTTGTTGATTCCTATGCAAGAGGCTTTAAATGTGGGCTGTTTTGATGGCACATTTATGTGATTTATTACATGCTATTCTCTCTTATTTCTCCTATAAAATTGGGCTAATTTCCTTTCTGAAAAAAGAGAGACTTTGAAGAATTTTGGAATGTTATCATTCAAAACCTGCGGGTTTTTTCTAGCTTGCGAGCTATCTTCTTCTCCCTATCCTTCTTACATTTCGTCACAGACTTCTATCTATTCTTATCTCCACAGTTCTCATTCCACCTGTATCTTTCTTTCCAAAACTTTGATTAGTTGTAAGATATTGTTGTGTCCTATTTTAATTGAAAGTTAAAGTGTTATTGTGTCATGTTTTACTGTAAGTTGTAAATAATAGTTATGTCATGTTTAATGTGAGTTTGAAGTGGTGTGTTGTTATATTCTATCGATGTTTGTTTAAATTATTTTAAAATGAATTTTGTAATTTGCATTCCTAGAACCAAGATTGTTTTTAGGTTGCATCACATATGCTCTCTCTGGCAGGAGTTTTATTTTGGGTTGAAGATTTCGATTTGAATTTCACAAAAAATGACCCGACTTGACTAAAATCAACCAAATCCATTTCCTTTCCTGAATAGCTTAAAAATCTCAACGCAATTAAACTCTTGAATCAATTTGACCAAACACAAAAATCAATATAATCTGTGTTGACCCAATACAATGGACAAGATTACTAAATTTCTAAAAGTCAAGTAAAAAAAATAACCAAAAAATGCTATTGAATATCACCCTCAAAGGTAAAAGATGAATTCACTCTTAAAATAGGTTGAATTAAGGTTAAGTTGAAATCTTACAAAAAATGACCCATTTTTTAAGGTTTTATGAGCATCTGAGAAAGCAATTACTAGATGAGATCACTTAAAATAATAGTTAATAACTAAAAATCAATGAAATAAGCTTTTGGTTAATAACTAGCCTAACTTGCAAAAAATTACAACCATTTACCGTTCTAAGAGATAAATGGTAAAGTTGGTTAGTTTTGTCTACCAATGATGAAGTATCGAAAAAACGGCTTCAGCCAATGACTACAACACTAGTAGAAAAAAAAATTTGCATTGGAAATAAATCAAGAAAAGTTAAAAAAGTTGCTGATGGACATTGAAATAACACCAGCACAAAAATTTTATTGCATTGGAAATAAATTTATCAGGCTGTTGGTAAACATTTATCAAATCTTCAAGCAGAGAAAGGACGATTTTCATACGTAATTTTCTAAATCAAGATATTAATCTCACCATGGAAAGATATGGCATTCTTGAACTGTTCTAGTCCAGTAATCAGCTCAACTTCACCGCCAAATGTCATATTAGATACACCATTTCTACAAGATGTTTTCAATGCTAATTGTGCATGGAAAAGAGATTCTGCAACCTCACTATCTCTTGGAAGCTCCATCCTCAAAACCTCATAATCTTTCACAGATTCAGCCCAGCGCTCAAGCTACCAAACAGGAAAAGTTGAAAATGTGTCAATTCAAGCATCCCACAGACCAAATACAAACCATTATGGGAAACAAATTTAGTTCGTGATTCACCTTACCGTTGGAGGCTGCGCGTCGTAGAAGAGCCTTGGTGTGATGGGGATAAATCTTGAGGGCTTCATTGCAGTCCTTGATGGACTTCTCCCATTGCCCAAGCTTTGACAAGCATGCCGCTCTATTGCAGTATAGGGTGGGATTGAAGGGATCATACTTAAGCCCTTCCCCATAAGCAAAACAGGCTTCTTCAAACTTTCCAGCATTGAAGAGCTCATTCCCGCGGGTACGAGCTCTTGCAACTGATCTCACCTTGTTCAAAGTCATTGTTATTTCAAAATTTTGAGGATCAATTTGCCTAGCTTTCTCAGCTGAAGCAACTGCATTATCATATCTGTAAAGCACCAATCTCTCATTCTTAAAACACTCATAACTTCATAAAACGTGGAAAACATACCTCAAATAAAACTCACCTTCCTAGTGCCATTTCAACTTGTGCATTAACCATGTGGGTATAGGAATTGGAAAGAATACCAAATAACTTAGCTTGAGACGAGGGGGGTGAAGAAATCTCAAGCTTTAATGCTTGTGAAATAGTTGAATCAGCCTCTTCAAGATCGTGAAGCCAGAGGCTGGCTTCTGCTTTTGCTGTCATAAGCTAGAAATTCCAGAACCGGTAAGAGAACCATTTGATATACTAAATGTACAAAACACGACAAGATATTATAAAGAATCCATTTATGAAAGCTTTTAATCTTACCAAAGAAGAAGAGTCAGCTCCAGCTGCTATAGCAGCATTGCTTTCTCTTAATACAATCTTCCAATCTCCAATTTTTCTAGCATCTGCGCATCTTCTCACGTGCATATCCACTGCCTTCAACTTTTGCAGCTCAAGAGGATCTGGCTGCAGACCAGGCCAAAACAGGTGTTTTCCGGCACTCTCAACCTGACCAAATCTAGAATATAGAAAAAAATATACTTCAACGGCTAGTAAAAATCACATTTACAGACATATATGTTTCAGAATTCATGCAGATGAGATAAATGAGCAATGATCATTATTTTAACAGTGAAATGGGCATAGAAAGGTGAACTAAATGAAGAAAAAGAATTCAAAAGCATATAAACATTTCAGTTTTTGTTAAGATCACTGAAAATTACACAACTGGAGCAAAAGGAGAAGCCAACATATATCAATCAAGGGAGTTTCAAAAGACTTTAAGACATAGAAGCTCGGCCTTAGAAGCTGCTCATCCACATCAATTCATGTTACGCCCATTTCTCTATCATTCAAATATCATTACATATCAAGCACCAAATCAATCAATCCAATAACTTCCAATCTTTACAAGAACAACAGAACTGAAAAATCTGGCCTTTTTTTCCTGAATTTCAACCCAGCAACACAAAACTCACCTGATATGAAGCGATGCCAACCTGTGGTGCGCTCTCACAAAAGAAGGCTCCAGCTTCACAGCCTCGTCACAGCTCTTCAAAGCCTCGCCAAGTCTTCCTAACCCAATCAAAGCTGCCGCTCGATTGCTTCTGCAAGCAGCGCTCTCCGGGAAAATCACTATCGCCCGATCATAAAGCCTCAGCGCCTCTTCAAACCGCCCTCTTCTGTACAATTCATTCCCAGCCCTCCTCACCTCCTCAGGATCCGTACTCACCATCGCCCTCCTCATCACGGGATCCAAACCACTCCCAGCCGCCGCCTCACCGGCCGGCGTGGAAGTACCACAACCACCGCTTCCTCCGCGCATAATGCTCCCATGCCCATAATTCCTCGCCCCCTCCCCAAGCACATCGCTCCTCGCCGCCGCGCTTCGGCTCATTATACCGGACCTCCCGATCTTCCCCGACGGGCAGATGTTACCTGCGGGAAGCACATTGGTCGCTGGCGAGCTCACCGGGCTGCTTTCTCCTCTAGCGCCAACGTAGATAAGCGGCTCAGACCCGGATCTCCGGTGCCCAGGCCTGCTGCTTCTAACACCCGAACCGATCTTCGATGTCTCCGCGCTGACCATGTGCTCGCCTGAGCGAGTTCTCCGGCCAGCGATGCCGCTGGCTATACATCCGGAGGAGCTCGAGCTTGTACTGGCACTGGGCCGGGTACGGAGAGGGGATAAAGAGGTATTAAGCGCGTGGAAGTCATTGCAATCGGATTTATTGCTTTCTAGGGTTAGAGCAGAGCGCAATCTCTCCGCCATCGAATCTAACCCCGCCGGAGCTTTTCGGGTCTCTCCGAACAGAGACATTTCCACAAACAACTTGAAGGTACTCAGAAAAATCGAGATCTTTTGCTGCGCTGCCTATAGAAGGAAACGAAGAGCTGAAGAGTGCATTAACAGGTGGAAGACAAAGAGGTAAAGAGGTAAGATGGAGAGACAATGATCTCGCGGATCGCGAGCAGGAAGCAAGGAATCAAAGATGGTGAATTTGGATTTCTGCTATAGATCTGAGAAAGAAGAGACGAGTAGAGAGAGAAGAGTAGGAGAAACCAAGCAAAGGAGGAGTCTTGAAGGTTTCTCCTTCCTCTCCGCTCTTCTTTCTCTACTCTCTTAGTTGCTGTGTATGGAAGAAGGTGGCCATTTTTAAGCGTAATAGCTTCCTGCAATTAGCATGATTTGTCTCTCCTTTAGGTTCGTTTGAGTATCTTTTTTAGTAAATCACCCATTTTGTGTTCATAAAAATTTTGTTTTTTCATCTTTTCAAGTTTTTTTTTACATTTATTTAAAAAGCATAGTAAAAAATAAAATAAAAATAATACATTTATCTCAAATGAAAGAATTATTTTGTTTTTTTTGGACTGTAATAATATTTTGATTTGGCAATTAATTTTCTATGCTTTAGAAAAAATTCTAATTAGAAAGTATTTTTTATAATTAGATTTATTAATATGGGAGAGCTATAAAATTTTTTTATCAACTTGAAAAAATTATATACTTATGATACTCTTTATAATATTTTAAAAAAATATTTTTCACATAATAATTTTACATTCATCTTCATAAAAAATTACAAACATCTCAAAAAAAAAAAAAATCTCACTTAATTTCTCCTCAACTCCTTTCATCTTTTTTATCTCAAATTTTGATTATAATTTCCTCCCTAAAAACAAACTAATTTTCCCTTACAGTCTTGCAATTTTTTAATAATTTTTATGAAAATTGTTACTAATCTTGTTTATTAATTTATTTATGCTAAGAAAGTAATAAATAATTATAATAATTTTGAAGACATAAATAAAAATGTTAAAGATATTTTATATGAAATATGCATGTCACGTGCCATGATAAAAATAGCTCATAGCAATGACTAAGGAGCTCCTAATATTTATATATATTTTTTATTTTTATTATCATTAATTTATCACTTAAATAATGCCACATTATCCAACAAATAAAAAAATAACATAAATATTTTATGTAACTAAAAATCTATTTATTTTTCTTCTCTCATGTTTTAGTGCTACCATAGTCTTCTTTTATTTTTTTAGTAAATGTCATAAAAAATCATCACTTGAGGTTTGTTCTTTACTACTATATTATTTTATAAAATTAATTGTAAATTTGTTATGGGGAAAATAATTATATATTACAATAATCACAAAGCTAATATTATAGATTTTAGGTTTAGTTTGGGACAACTCTCTTTCTGTTTTCTAAAACGATTTTTTAGTACAAAAATTTTTAATTAAAAAAATTTTTGTAAGTAAAATATAATTTAGAAAAAAATTAAGAAAACTATCCCAAATGAAGTGTATAGCTTTGATTGGGACAACTTTTGTACTGCTTCCTAAATTGACTTTTTATTATAAAATTTTTTAATTCAAAATTTTTTTTTACTAGAAAGCGGTTTTAGAAATCAACAAAAAATTATACCAAACAAAGCTCTAAGTCTCATCCAAACCAAATGTTTGATTGGGATATCTTAATCCATTTTTTTTTTTTTTTACTTTCACTTATTATTATTTGTTAACTTAATTTTAATATTTAAAAGTGCTATTAATTATTTATATCTTTATTTTTTTGTTAAAAATAAAATCAGTTTTTGATATATCAAATCAATTTCAGTTCTTCTTTGATTCACACATTCTAATAACATATCTCCAATTAATTTTATTTTATTTTTAAAATTTAAGATTATTTACAAATCCTCACCAAAAAAAATCTAATTTTAGGTATATTTATGAAATATAAACTCTTATTCATTCAATTTATTTCAAATAAGAGGTCTTAGAGATGGGGCCCATAATTAATCTCTTGAGAGGGTGGTATTATAAATGAATAGTGAAACAATAGAAATGCTAATTAGGAGAGTTAGCTTAAAAGGCTTTTTTAACATAATCATAGGTTTATATAATATAAGGTAGGAAATGAAGAGAAAGAAGGCATGTGCTGCCACATGATACTTATTTTCACTTATAATCAAATTTCAAATAACAATCTATTATTATGAGTGTAAAGCTTCATTTGTAACAATTTTTTAACTAATTTCTAAAACAAGTTTTTAGTACAAAATATCATGAATTTGAAATTTTTGTACTAAAAATTTGCTTTATACGTTGTTTGGGATGACTTTCTTACTATTTTTTAAAATAATTAACTTTTTAGTATAAAAATTATACTAGAAAGCTGCTTTAATAAGCAATAAAAAAGACATCCCAAACGAAGCATTAGAAAGCAGTATGAACGATGTCTCCAATGAAACTTAAATAAGTTTTGAATATGAGCAATGGAGGACTTTAATTACAAGTTTAATCATTTATTATCCAATAAATTAATATTTTTTAAGTGTTACTATAATATTATGAGTGTTAAAAGAATTAGCTAAAAATTTATTAAAGTTGGACTTATTTACATATTCAATGATTTATATATGAAAAATAGTTATGTTAAAGATGAATTCTTTGTGAAAATTGGGATTCTTTTACACCCTATCTACTGTTATGGACTTATGAGGGTACGAAGAAAAATAGCTTTTAAATATCTTTTTTAAACATTTATTAAAGTTATTTAATAAGAAAATTTCTTAAAATAAATGCAACCATAGTCAATTATGACTAAAATAAAGTATTTCTAAAATCATAAATATAAACTTTTAAATATTAATTAGATAAGATACAAAATTAAAGCACGTGAAATTTAAATTTTTCTTATTTATTTAATGATTTATTTTTTTGCTCCAATTTAAAATTTCTAATTTCTGATGGGATAAATTATACAACTTATCATAATAAAAAAAATCTATAAACAATCGTAATACTTCATTATTTAATTAATGAATCAATAAAAAAATTTTAAATTAGAATTGATGATTTTTTTTCTAAAAAAATTTAAAGAGTATAAAAATATTATTTTCAATGAGAAATGAAAAATAATTATTTGAAAATACTATAATACTTCTACTAAATTTATTATGAGAATAATAACTAATAAGTACTAAAATCAGTGTTATTTCTAAAATTTAAATATTAATAAAAGTAATATTTTTAAAATTAACGATAATATAAAAAAGAAAAAAAAAAAAAAAAAAATCTCTCAACCCTACGACGCTACAATTAGGAGAAGCTAACATAGCTTGACAACTTTTCAGTTCTCTGATACGCTTGCACAAATGGGTTCAACTTTCTTAATAATTACGATGTCAGATACCCCCAAACATTGTGGGGAAAAGCTCAAATAGTGTTGGTTAAGTAAATATACAAAAACATAAGGTTGATTTAGTAAAAGTAGACTCCCTTGCCACACCGTAGACAGCTGGCCTCGTTCCATGCGAGGTGTGCCCGCCAGCTGGCAACACTCAGCTATCATCGCGCCAGCTAATCTTAGGTTGCGTGATGGCGCGCGTCGACGTCGACGGTCACATCGCAAGTTTTAAAAAATATTATTTTCCCCTTTTTTTTCCTCAATAGGCAAATAAGTGATCATAATATGATTCTACAAAATGTAATCTAATGAGAAAATTGTATATTAAAAAAAAATATATTTGGACCATTAATAAGAAAATATTTTTTTTTTAAGTCATAAGTGGTATGCTTTGAAATTTACTGCTCATCTTTTTAATTAAAAATTTTTAAATTTATCATAAAATTGATTCGAGCATTCTATTTTTTTTCGCTCTTTTATCACGTAGAAGATGCACACACAAGGAATACACAATAAAATGGTGATGGAGAAATTATTATGTGCGATCATCGGATCGTTCGGAGGTGAATAAGGATGCATCATGTCACCCATTACACAGCGGCACAAAGCATCGATACACGGCAAAATGGTGATGTGGAGCGTCTTGATTCGCCTCTTGAAGGAGCCCAGTAACCGCACGTAATAATTTCTCTTTATCGAGAAAAAATTGAATTTATTTTGCAATGTGATGTGGTCTGTCATTAATGCAGTACTTAATTATCTCAAAATTAGATATCTTGCAAGCATTAAAAAATAAGTTGCAATGTTAGGTAAGATAAGGTGCTTAGAATGTGGATAATTTATTTGTGATTTACGACCTTCAACCAACATGTCAAACTATTTCAAGTGAATTTAACTAAGTTATTGTGGCCTTTGCAAAGCCTAAAAATCATGAGTTCTCTGAGGTATTAGATTGCTTGTGAATATATTAATATTTTGTTAAAAATGATCAGTTGCAGAAATTTTTAAGATCCTAAATTTAATTCTTACACAATAAAATATTTGAATGTTTTTTTAGGGGATTTTTGAAGTGCCTTCGTCATCTATGTTAATAAGCTTGTATGCCTATAATTAATTATGATTTGGACACTATGGGATTGATTTATGATAAATGACTTTTGATATCTATTCAAATATTAAATTTGTTGCAGCTGGAGATTCACGATGGTTGAGTAACAGGGTTTTACGTCTTAGTGATGCACGAAAATTCAACACACATAAAGAATTAAAATGATAAAGAAGTAACAACATAATTTTTACGTGAAAATTTATAGAGGGATAACTACCAGGTCTTACCTAGATAAAAATATTCCATTATATTTGAACATACTGTAAAGATTGACACTGAAGAAACTAGAGAAAGGATTAAGAGTGGAATTCACCAGATAGATACAGAGGAGAATAATGTTGTATTGCATCCCTATTACAGAGACTAACTACCCTTATATAGATACATTTGATTAGCAATAAGAAACTACTAGAGAAGCGTGTGCATGTAGCTGTATTCCGGCTTTAGGAAGATGTAGAGCTGTCTAGCCGAATATGTTGCTTCTTGTCTAATACGCCCCCGCAAATTGATGGGTCCTTTGTGACTGCCAATTTGGATCAAAGAAGTGTGAAGCGAGGTGTTGAAAGCGGCTTCGTAAAGATGTCGGCTATTTGATCGATAGTGCTTATAGGTAGCAGAGTGATGTGGTGTTGTTGAATGTGATCCCGTAAGAATTTCTGATCAATCTCTATGTGTTTTGTGCGAGAGTGGAAAACAGGATTATTGGCCAAGGCGATAGCTGACATGTTATCGCAATAGAGATTCGTAGGCTGGTCTTGAGAAATGCCGAACTCGGAGAGCAGCCGGCGTGTCCAGATGATGTTCGTCGTAAGGGCAGCCAATGCTTGATATTCAGACTCCGTAGACGATCGAGCGACAGTGTGTTGTTTCCGAACCGTCCAGGAAATAAGAGC